GAGCATTCACCGCTTCTGGAGGCAGGTTGTTCCACTGGTTAATTGTTCTAACTGTCAGGAAGTTTCTCCTTAGTTCTAGGTTGCTTCTCTCCTTGATTAGTTTCCACCTGTTGCTTCTTGTCCTGCCTTCAGGCGCTTTGGAAAATAGCTTGACTCCCTCTTCTTTGTGGCAGCCCCTGAGATATTGGAACACTGCTATTATGTCCCCCCTCGTCCTTCTCTTCATTAAACTAGACATACCCAATTCGAGCAGCCGTTCCTTATATGCTTTAGCCTCCAGTCCCCTAATCATCTTTGTTGTTCTTCTCTGTACTCTTTCTAGAGTCTCAACGTCTTTTTTACATCGTGGTGACCAAAACTGGATGCAGTATTCCAGGTGTGGCTTTACCAAGGCATTGTAAAGTGGTATTAACACTTCACGTGATCTTGATTCTATCCCTCTGTTAATGCAGCCTAGCACTGTGTTGGCCTTTTTGGCAGCTGCAGGACACTGCTGGCTCATATTTAGGTGATTGTCCACTAGGACTCCAAGGTTCCTCTCACAGTTACTACTATTGAGCAAGGTACCCCCTATACTATACCTGTACATTTGGTTTTTCTTGCCTAAATGTAGAACCTTACTTTTTTCACCATTGAATTTCATTTTGTTAGACAGTGCCCAGTGTTCAAGTCTGTCCAGATCCTTCTGTATCTTAAGCCTGTCTTCTGGAGTGTTGGCTATTCCTGCCAGCTTGGTGTCGTCTGCAAATTTGATGAGTTCCCCATCTATTCCCTCATCCAAATCGTTGATGAAGATGTTGAAGAGCACTAGGCCCAGAACAGAGCCCTGGGGCACTCCACTACACACTTCCCTCCATGTAGATGCGGTTCCATTGAGGACCACGTGCTGAGTATGGCCGGTCAGCCAGCTACAGATCCATCTGGTAGTGATGCTGTCTACCCCACATTTTTCTATCTTATCCAGTAGTAGATTGTGATATACTTTATCAAATGCCTTACTGAAGTCCCAGTAAATTATATCCACAGCATTCCTTTGATCCACTAATTTTGTCACTTGGTGAAAGAATGCAATAAGATTTGTCTGGCATGATCTATTTTTGACAAACCCATGTTGGCTTTTAATAATGACTTTGTTTGCCTCTAGGTGCTCGCTGATTCATTGTTTGATTATCTTTTCCAGGATCTTCCCAGGTATTGAGGTCAGGCTGATAGGTCTGTAATTTCCTGGGTCCATTTTTTTTCCCTTTTTTGAAGATGGGAACTACATCAGCTCTTTTCCAGTCCTCTGGTAGTTTCCCAGTGCTCCAGGATCTTTGAAAAATATAGTTCAGTGGTTCTGAGATCACATCTGCCAGTTCTTTGAGAACCTTGGGGTGTAATCCATCTGGTCCTGGCAATTTGAACTCATCTAGACTGGACAGGTGCTGACTTACCATTTTCTTGCCTATCTTAACTTGTGTTTCTATTCTTTTTTTATGGCACTATTTTTGATAGGTTGGTCTGTCTTTTCCCTTTGTTTTTTTTTTTATTGAAAATTTTTAAAAGTTTTACAATATAACTCCCCTCCTCCCCAAAACCCACCCTTCCCCACCCCCCTCCCTCCCCAGAGCCAATCACAGGGTTAACAATACAATAAATATACTCTGTCTTAGATTATGTCACTATTAAATTAACAATTCTATAACATCCTTTAGCTCTCTTCTAAACAAACATATTAAACATTATTGTTACTAATTAAAATGAAATAAACTACATTAACAATCTAAAATTTACTCAAAAACCAAATGAAACTTTTTAGTTCCATATTTATTCTCAATATAATCTATCCATCTTCTCCAAACCAAAATATATCTTTCTTGTGAATAATCCTTCAGGTAGGCTGAAATCTTAGCCATTTCTGCTAAATTTGAAACTTTAAATGCCCAATTTTCTATAGTGGGCAAACGTTCTGTTTTCCAACATTGAGCTACTAATAATCTTGCAGCAGTTATCAAATTCAGCATCAAATCCATTTCTTTTTTGTCCAAATTTTCCATAATGCCCAACAAAAATAACTGTGGCTTAAACTTTATCTTTTTCTTAAAAATATTTTGAATATTCCACCATATCTTTATCCAAAATGCTTTAACCGCCCTGCAAGTCCACCACACATGAAAATAAGTTGCATCTAAATTTCCACATCTCCAACATTTGGGTTGTAGGTTAGGATACATACGGGACAATTTTTGAGGATCCAAATGCCATTTGTGTAAATGTTTGTTTTGTGAGCTGCCCAACATTGTCATACGTAATATGGGTAGTCACATAAGTACTTGTCCCCGATTTGAAATATTTTCATTGATTAAGCTAACTAAAATTCAAAGTTACAAAATATATTTGTCTTTATCGATGGTATACATCAATGGTTATCAACCTATTCTTTACCACGGACTGAACTCAAGATTTAAATCATAACATTTCTTCAAGCCTTCGTGGACCCCGTGATGACATCACCTTCCCCAGGGGTCTGTGGACCACAGATTGAGAACCACTGGTATACATTGTTCAGCAACAAGAAACTTTCTAATAAAGATGTAAGTTGCAATTTTACTCATAGTTTCTGGAAGGCATGATCCTATGATGATACTTTGGGACCCAATCAATGTTAAAAAAGAATTAAAAATGACAAAAACATTAGTACTGAGCCACATATTGATTCTAGTTCTAACACAAATCATTCCATGGGCTTAGTAAAATATATTTAAATATTTTTAAGCATAAGGAAAGTAATAATTAGAGGTATTATTCTTCCCTAAGGCCCGAATTACCAAAAAAACTTAGGAGTTGAGAAAAGTTTGAGAGTCATCTATGGTAGGAATGTTTCCATCATATCCTCTTCCATTTTTTTTAATGCAAATATTTTGGAGTAATTCCATACTGCTATAAGCATGCGGAGTAAATCTAACATACAAGGAATAAAGTGATTGTGGAAGGGCCTCAATTATGTTTAAGCAAAGGGAGGCTTATGAGTGATACACCTCCACAAAGCTGTGCTATCTACCTTTGGAGGTGGTAAACTGTCTAGGTATTGATTAAATATTAAATTAATTGTCTATGTTATAAATGTGCTGTTAAGAAATCAGATATAGCTTTCAAGCACTCATAGCGATGCCAAAACAAGAAGAAACACAATAAGATATTGGAAACACTCACCGTTTATTCTGGCTAGGCCACTCAAATACAGAGGTGATGATGTGGAGCTGTTGTGCTCCCCAAATAAAAAACATTCAGGTTACTTTGTTCCTCTCTTTGCTTTCGACAAGCAGCTTATCGGGGCTCTAATTTCTCCTTAGAGCTTTCACAGGACTGGACTGACAAGCACAGGGGTGAACGCATCTTTCCACTTCGGGAAGTGTGTTTTTGCCAAGTTTTTTTCTGCTGTCACTTACAACTAAGAACAAACATAAGCAACAGCTGCTGATTTGGCTCATTTCAAATCTATAATTATCCCTCCACTTGTTTTTCATAGGAGGACCCCTTTGGTGGGAACTCAGAATCATGGAAATAATTTGCATCAATCTTTTCCAGTTGGGACACATTCCTTCTACCATCGTTCAGTGACATAAAATAAGGTCAATTATTCAAAAGAGAAGAAAGAAATGGAAAAGCAAAAAAAGAAGGTAAAAGAAAAATGCCTTTAAATTCCCACTTTGTTGTTATTAAAACATAAGAGCCAGAAAGGAAAAAGGGCTCAGGGCTTTTGAAGTTGTGGCCTAAAAACTATGTGAAGTTTATACATTTGTGCTTACTATTCAAAGGTGATTGGACTAACTAAAGGCTATTACTATATTAACTTCCCAATGACCTTTCTCTTGAATATAGTTTCCACAGGGCAGACGTGATATAGTATGAGTAGCTATGGAACTAATGCTTAAAAAGTCCTAAATTGTAATCATAACAGACATAATATGCACAGTTATTAAGAATTAGATGATTCAGAATGCAATTCCAAAGAGGCTTATCTTAAATGTTAAGTCTCAATAATTGCAGTGGTTTAATCTATATAAATAAAAATGTAAATGTTCGTTTGTTCAAAATCTTAAATCTCCGAAAGTTCTTCACTGATTGCTTTGAAATTTTGACACAACGTTGCATTTGAATATGTGCGTGTTTGTATATACC